TATATTTGTTAAAATCAAATTATTAGAAGGGGTGTGTTTGATAATTTATATAAGATATAAGAATGAAAAATATACTTTTTGGGGGTAAAAATGAGGCAAAAAATGGAGTTGGGTTGGGGATGAACCACAATTTACCCTATTTTTTACTTTATTTTTGGAGGAAAAATAAAAGTGGGTTTGAGATGGTCAAATTTCCCCCCGAAAATAGAGTAAAATAAAATGGGGTAAATAATGTTTCATCTCCAACCTTACTCTATTTTAACCCATTTTTACCCCAAAAAAGTATATATACCTAATATATTCCATTTTTCCAACTTATATAGATTGTCAATTATACCCCTTCTACTAATTTGGTTTTAACAAATATATAATCTATATTTTTTTCATTACAATACTATTAAATAAATAAGATTATATTTATAACATGTAATTCTAAGCTTTTGTAAAATACGTTATCGTATTTTAAAATTTATTTAAATTTTCATATGAATTTGATAAACAAAAAATAAACTTTATATTTATAATTAATTAATATAATTTAATACATAATACAATATTACAAGTATTAAATAATACATTTAAATTATAATTAGTAAATAAAATAAACTAATAATGTATAAATATATAAGAGCATCTCCAACCCATTTTCATTTCCATTTTTTCTTCCATTTTTACTCCCATTCTTCTCCAAACCACCCCCATTTATTCCCACATTTTGGGGGATATGAATAGTATTACACCAAATATGGTGTTATACTATTCATTTATCCGAAAATAGGGATGAACTTTGTGTTGTCGGTTTTAGTCCCTCTATTTATATATTTATACATTTTTAATTTATTTTTACCTACTAATTATAATTTAAATGTAATATTTAATACTTATAATATTTTGTTATATATTAAATTATATTATCTAATTATACATATAAAGTTTGTGTTTAGTTCATCAAATTCTTATAAAAAGTTAAATACATACTGAAATTTTAAAAAACAATAAGGTATTTTACAAAAGCTTATAAATATGTTATAAATATAATCTTATTATTTAATATTATTGTAATGAAAAAAATATAGATTATATTTTTGCTAAACCCGAATTAGTAGAAGGGGTGTGTTTGACAACCTATATAAGTTGGAAGAATTGAATATGCTTGGAATATACTTTTTGGGGTAAAAATAAGGTAAAACATAGAGTAAAGTTGGAGATGAAATACTATTTATCCAATTTTTTACTTCATTTTTGGAGGAAAAATGGGAGTGAGTTGGAGATGGTCTAATAGTTCTCGATCGGATAAAAAAATGGGAGTGGGTTGGAGATTGTCTAATAATATACGTATATATGCACACATTGATATGTTAATCACATGAAAATCACATGTGATTCACATATTAATCACATTTGATTAACATGTAAATCACATGTGATTCACATGCAAATCACATGTGATTCATATATTAGTTACATGTGATTCACGTGTAAATCACATGTAATTCACATATAAATCACATGTAATTCACACTCACACACACACATACACACACACACACACACACACACATATATATATATATATATATATATATATATATATATATATATATATACACACATCACATGTGATTAGCATGTAAATTACAAGTGAATCACATATGATTCACATGTAAATCACAAGTGAATCACATATGAATTACGTCTATATGCACACATGCATTTTGTGTGAGTGTTCTTCGTTAATTACTTTCTAAAATTTTCTTGTGAATTTCACATTTGAATCTTAAAAAATACAATCATATGTGAATATCATATTATATAATCACATGTGAATCTTACATCATATAATCTCATGTGAATCTTACATGATAAATACATGTGCATTTTTGTGAGTGTTCTTGCATTAATCATTTTTTTAAAAATTTTCTTATAGATATTGAAGAATTTGTGGAAAATATTAAAGAGGTGCAGAATGATAAATTGAAGAAAATATGGAAATAGTGATATGAAGAAATGATAGCATTGTGAATCGTTGTAGTTTTTTTTTTTTTTTTTTTTTTATATTTTATTTTGTATCGAATAAGATACTTGTAGTATTTATGTTTATAGATTGGCTAATAAAAATTAGATTTTTTTATAATTTACTTAGGAATATTATAGTATAGGAAATATTCATATATGCATTTGAAAAAAATATGCATATATGCACTTAAAACGTTGATTTTTTTTTTGTTAAAAAAATGCAGTTTTGAAAACAATTGCACTTTTTATAAAAATCGCAGTTTTTTTTTTTTTTTTTTTTTTTTTTTTTTTTTTTGTGAAAAAAATGCAGTTTTTTCTGAAAAAAAAATACAGTTTTTTTGAAAAAAAAAATTACATTTTTTTTGAAAAGAAATACATTATTTTTTTTCTAGAAATTTTTTTTTTAAAAAAAATGCTGTTTTTTATAAAAGTGCAGTTCTTTTTTTTTTTTTTTTGGAAAAAAGATGCAGTTTTTAAAAAAAAAATATATATATATATTTTTATTTTTCAAAAAAATTCATGTTTTTTGAAAAAAAATTAAAAATTCTCCATTTTAAAAAGAAATAAAAAATTATTATTATTATTTTAAAATAAATCCGAAAATTTGAATTATTTTGTTAATTTTTAGATATTTGTATTAATATATTAAGTAACATAAAAAAATTAAACATTAAATGAGATTGGTAAGATTAAAATCATGTGTTTAACGAATTACTTTTGATCCAACGCTTCACTTTTAGTTTTCAGGAAACTTTGAGTTGTCAACCGATTTCAACCTTATATATATAATTTTTATCAACTTTTATATTTTACAAAAATAAAACCGGTATAGTCATTTAAAAAAAATACCCAATATAGTTATTATATGAAGAAATTATATAGAAAATTTTTAAAGACCGTTAATTATAAAAGATAATAAATAAACTAATTTAAAAAAAAAAAAAACCTTTAAAGATTGTTAATTAGATAAGATTTTTGTTTATTAAATGTTGGTCAAAATTTAATATAACATATTATTTTTGAATTATGAGTATGATTTTTAAATATCATAATAATCGCCTCCTCATAATAATTATTTTTAAATTAGCCATTCTTTTGGACATTAAGAATTTTAAACAATATCCAAATAAAATATATTTTGGACAGTGGTGCTGGTATCAATAGGCCATAGTCACACAGGAAAGGAATGCTGGCCAGTGGCATCGCCTTTTTTTTTCACCAGTTACCCGAATTTAGTAGAGAAATTAAATATTTTTTTTAATTTTTTATTTATATATATTTTTCTATCCAATTAAATGGTAACATGTATAATATTTAATATTTATTTAATGAAATTTAATAATATTTTAGAATATGAGCATATTTAATTTCTCAATTTAATATATACGTTTTACACAAACTATTATAAAATAAAATTGAAAACTTTCTCTTTCTCCAAATATAATTTCAAACTATTATAAAATAAAATAGAAAACTTTCTCTTTCTCCAAATATAATTTATAATAACTTTATATATTGCTATCACATTAAGAGATTTTTATAATTTCAATATCGGATATTAAAACTTTCATATAAAAGGCGGCGATATAAATTGTATTCATGAAATATTGTTGAAAACAATCCGCATGTAAATAACTTGTTTTGGTTTTAATCTAAATTAGATCGATCATATTTGCATTTTTTTATGTGAATAATTTTGAAGTAAAAGATATTTCTTGAAACATAAAAGGAATTAAATGGATAAATCGGGCCTTTCAAATTAGTACTTTTGTAGTCGATTCTATAACTTATACGATGAACGATGGTTCTTTAATCAAATTTTGCGTTAACTACTACTAAAAGTTATTAATAATCAATTAAAAATATATAAAATATTTAATCTACATCTGGCAAGAAAAAGATGAGCCAGCAAGAAGCCACCGGCCCACCACATAGGTGTATCTATTTTTTTCTCTTCTAGAAGCATGGCATCATCCTTATTTTTTTCTGAAGCATTTCATTTATCTGGATTTATTATTTTAAAATGGTATCACAGAAGTTAAAAAAACTTATATATCGTTTTGTCTATCATATTGTACAAAAACAGGGACATGATTCTTTTACTATAAACACTTAAGTACAAAAATAATTCAGTTTATTTAATCTTAAATAAACACTTAAGTCTTATATAATTAACTTTATTGAGATATAAGAGATACAATATCCAAAAACAACTGAGTTTGGTTGAATTATTTGATTATTAACAAAAACATGTAAATTAATATTGATTTTAGAATCATGTTTTATAAATAAAATATAACTAAGCTAAGTTTCTTTTACGCGCCTTTTTGTTTCTCATTTATTTTATACGTCTTTGTGATTGGATTGATAAAATGTTGAAGGTTGTGTTTGGTAAATTAACTAATAATCGGTTACAACCGGTTCCACTTCGTTTCTACTAGTTCGTTCCAACTGTTCCGATTCTGATTTTTTAGTTAAAAAGTTATCCCTAGACTACATATATCCCGATCATCCTTCCTCACTTGCATTACATATTACATAGCTAGTTGTATATTTCTATTTTGGTATTTGTAAAACTTGCTTTGGTTGACCATATGAAAAGAAATATTTGACTAACGGACGTTGTGGTAATGCGTGGACAACAATACGTGGACGAGAGAGACTATTAAAGATGTGAAGCAAGGGAATAGTGATCGACCACCCTAAAATTGATAATATCTATTCCATGCATTTTTACAATCTAACATAATCTCTATTTTAACATTAATCAAGATTTCAGATCTTTTCATTACACCTTTAGATGGTTTAATGTCCACATCCCACGACGCCATAGCCTATATATTCTCACCTGCCTCCACATCAAACACTTGTTAATTCATTTTTCATCTCAACTCTCAACTCCCTCTTTCTCTCTTCAAAATAATATCTCACCGAAACCACCCAAAACAGATCACAAATTTCATCTCCGCCGGCCGGCTACGAACATGCAGTCCAGCTCCATAGTCGATGCATCACCGAGCTTCAACACACATTCTTCTAACAACCTCACGGATATTGCAGATAGAGTTGTCCAAGAATTACTTCGAACCGACAATGGATTCGGCGACGATATCTTCGATTTCGGTGTTGATGATAATCGGGCGAATACTCGCGAACATGACGGCGTAATGACTAATACTCCTACCGGAAACTTGAAGGAAAATGAGGAAGACGCTCCCAACGAAGATGAAATAGAGTTCGAGTTCCCTGTTGTTTGTAGAGACTCTAATCTGTTTCCGGTTTCAACTGTCGACAATCAGATCTCGCGGAGCTATCCGCTATTCGATAGAAGTTTATTGTTAGACGTCGATCCTAATTCCAGTAACGGTGTTGATACTTCGGGGACTGATCCTAAGCCGTCTCCGGCGGCGCGGCATTCTCTGATGATGCTTTTCAGAGAAGATCTCTCGGCGTCGTCTTCCTCGTCAGAGGCGGATGATCTGGACAGAATTTCGCCGGGAACGTACTGCGTCTGGAACCCGAAACCTGAATCGCATGGAAAGCATAAGAAGAGCAATTCCATATCGTTTGATAATAATTCGAAGAGGTGGAAGGTTCGAGATCTACTCAAGCGAAGCTACAGTGACGACAACTATTCAGCCGGCAAGGTTGTCATTTTCACTCCTCCGATTGCAACGAAGCAGAAGATGAACAACGAAAAGGTAAAGAAGACTGAGAAAACTGCTAAATTAACTTCTGCCGTCGACGGCGGTGGAATATATAGTAAGACGGAATCTAATACTCCGGTGCATAAAGCGAAAGCTGGAGGTAACCGTCTTCCGCCGTACCTTCCCTACCGGCCAGATCAGCAAGGTCTATATGCCAATTTCACCGGATCAAGCAGGAATTTTTATCGCTACTAAAACGTATGATTACATTAATTTATATATTCTTAATTTTTTTTTTTCATGAAACTTTACATCTCTTACGTTAATTAGGTTTTGCAGTTATGACATTCTGACTGTAAATCTCCTGTTAGTATGTATGTGTGAGGGGATTTATTAGGCTAGAACCGAACTGTCGAGTTTGAATATTATTTATCGGTGTTTCGAATTATCTAAAACCTATTATTGTAAATTGTAACTGTGCATTTTGAACTATTCATTATTCTTTTTAAATATTTTTTTGAACTTTAATTTAAATGTATGATTAAGGCTCCCCTTTTGGTGCTTGTGACAAAGTAAGGTTACACGATATTGTGGCTGAGATGGACTATGGTGAACTCGGCACCACTCTAGTTTATTATATTCAGTCTAGAAAAAATAGGGGAAAACATTCAAAAGCTAGTAGCCGAAAGTTGTTTGAAATTGTATGTATGGTCCATGTGGTTTGTTGAAATTAACACCTTTAGTCTACAATATTCTTTTCTTGTACTCGTGGTATCTTAATTATCCAAACCTACCTAATACGGTTTGTCCTTCACCTTATTTGTTGTTAAGGTGGAATGGTTAAGATAAGACCCCTCTTCTGCCACGTGTATCTGAATATTCTGGTCTTTTCAAGCAACCCTTTTATTTCTCACTTCAGTTCAATCACACACATCTATAAAATTGGCAAAACAAGAACACACACAAAGAGGAAGCATACACAAAAACACTAAGCATACAAAAAGACACTAAGCAAAAACAAAGGTTTAAGAACCTACGACTACTAAACTACCGACAAGAAACGGAATTGCAACAAATGCACATAATTGGCTATACATGAACCACACACATAATTGGTTAGTAAACAAAGTTGATAATTTCTTAGTTCTTGAACTTTTGTTTATGCATGCACAAAATTGCTTATTAACATAACGAGTAGAAATTGCATAGAGTCTAAAGTTGGCATAAAATAATAAATGTACACAAATTCCTGAACATGAACCTATAATGCAAAAAACACACACAATTAGTTGCTTAGTTCTTGAACCTTTGATTATGCATTACCAAAGATAGTTGTTGTAATTTGATAACTTAATAACACAAAACTTTATCATACATAACGTATACACAATATAAATTAAATGGATTTTCTAATATGTGCTTTAAGGACACACATAAGAACTATTAATTATAGGAAATATTACTATAATTAAATTTGAAATGCATTAATTATGAAAAATATTTTCTATAATTAATAAATTTCACATTTAATTATATTAATATTCCCCATAATTAATAGTTCAATTAATGTTTCTTATGTGTCCCGTAAGATACATGTTAGAAAATCTCTAAATTAAAACTAGAGTTAATCTCCTTGTCCCATGTTCTATACAATTACCATAATATATACAATAGTTTGTTACATGAAATCTCAAACTAATAGGAAAGACGATAACTTCCTAAATACAAACCAATCTAGTACATATTTGCATCTATTCTAAATATTCCAATATATTTTATCACACCCCCTAGTCGAATCAGGAGGTAAACGGACGTTGGGACTATGATGAAAATCTTCAAAAAGTACTAAGGAGAGTCCCTTCGTAAAAATATCCACAATTTGATATCGAGAAGGAACATGCAACACACGAACTTGGCCACAAGATACTTTTTCACGAACGCAGTGAATATCGAGTTCGATATGCTTAGTATGTTCATGATGAACTGATTACCTGAAAAATATATTGCATTAACATTGTCGTAATAAACCAATGTTGCTTTCTGAATGGGAAAATGCAGCTCCATAAGCAAATTACGCAACCAACATGACTCAAACACCACATTTGCCACGCCCCGATATTCCGCCTCGACACTTGACCTTGAGAGAGTAGGTTGTCACTTTGACGGCCAAGAAACCAAATTATCCACCAGAAAGATGTAGTATCCAGAAGTGGAATGTCGGATATCTGTACACCCTGCCCAGTCTGCATTTGTATATGAAAAGAGACTAGCGACAGACAACAGACATAAATGTAACCCATAATGAAGATTGCCTTGAACATACCTTAGAATCTGTTTAAGAGCATGCATGTGTATTTCTCGGGGTGCATGCATGAATAAGCACACCTGTTGTACATCATATGTAATGTCGGGTCGTGTAAAGGTCAAGTATTGTAGTACCCCATCCAAGCTACGATAATGTGTAGGGTCCAAACATGGTGTGCACTTAGAAGCACTTAGCTTCAGTTTGTTATCAACTGGAGTTGGGGACGGTTTATACGAGGTCATCCCAGCACGTTCAATAATCTTAGTAACATACTTTTGTTGAGATAAGAAGAGACTTATGTCGTTCAACTGCAATACCCAAAAAATAATGCAAAGGTCCCAAATCTTTCATAGCAAACTAAAGCTAAGCATTGAGATAATTGAAGCTCGTAAAGCATTTGATGAAGCTGTTAAAACGATATTATCTATATATAATAAAATATATGCCATGTCTTGTCCCTGACGATAAATGAAAAGCGAATAATCAGATTTGGTATGTAAAAAACTGATGGTTGAATGTAGTCCGCAAAACTTTTATACCACGTACAGGGGGGGGGGGGACAGTTTAAGTCCATACAACGACTTTCGGAATGGACACACATGATTAGGATGAGTGGTGTCATGAAAACCAAGAGGTTAATGCATATAGATAGTTTCACTTAAGTCACCATGCAGAAATGCATTTTTGACATCAAGTTAATTAATGGACCATGATTTTGACAAAGAAATACTAAGAATGATACGAATAGCATCCGGTTTAACCAATGGGATAAATGTTTCACCACAGCCCACACCCACTTGTTGGGTCATGCCATCACTAACAAGGCGAGCCTTATATCGAGCAAAAGTACCATCAGAGTTTTCCTTGTGAGTGAAAATCCACATAGAGAGGATGACGTTAACATTCGGTGGTCGAAGCACTAAGCCCCATATTTTATTTTTAATAAGAGCCTCAAATTCCTCATTTATTGCTTGTTTCCAATTTAGGTTGTGTAAAGCTAATATAGGGTTATAAGGCAGTGGGGAGCGAGCATTTTGAGTAGCCAACACATACTTTTTATTTGGTTTGACAATTCCCTATTGACTTCGAGTAACCATGGTGGAATGTGGTACTGTCGAGGAGGGAACCTGTAAAAACATCCCGACAGAAGTCGAACCGGGAGATTCAGCAGATGGTGATGGGGTCGGTGCAGTAGATGGTTTCGAACTAGAAGGTATGACCGATGACATCATGTCAGTTGTAGATGTGTTGAGTAAGTGATGGAGAATATATGGTGAGAGACCATCATCCAAGAAAACATATGGATCTGC